AGCCAACGAATAGATTAAAATAGCGATGCAGAGATGGGGTGGCCAGCTCTCCTGAATGCAGCACGGATGCAAGGAAATGTAAAACAAAAGTTTATGTAACTAACAAAAATAAACATTGATAATGTTAGTTTCTGTTTCTTGTCTTTTGGAGACAGAGTTTCTCTGTGTCGCCCTGGCTATTCTGGAACTTTCTCTGTTGACTAGGCTGGTCTTCAATTCAAAGATCCACCTGCTTCTGCTTCCCAAGTGCTGGGATTAAAGGTGTATGCCACCACTGCCCAGCTGGGTAATTTTTTTCTAAGCACAGCAATTTTCAAAACATGTTTACAGGCATTTAATTTATTCTCAGAACCACCACATAAGGTGGTAACTCTATCCTTTTTCTTACAGATAAGGACACTGAAGTTAAAGAGCTTGCCTGGGCTTCCACTGCATGGAAGTAGAGCTAGGACTAGAGCACAGACGCTTGCATCTGCTGACCCATTCAGAACACATCACTGGCTCGCTAGCAATGCTTAAAGAATAAATGAAGGAACGCACCTCAAGAACACCGACTTTGGCTATAGAACACTGTGGGGATTGTGTTTTTGTTCTTCCCTTTCCCATTGAAAGAGAATTTATACAGGTAGCTTTTAGCAGTCAGGCTCTTGGCCATGGCAGCACGGAACCTCTGCAGACAGTCCAGTTGTCTAAGGTGTCATCGACAAGACAATTTTTATGCCAGTTGTCCACAAAGGAAGCTAAAGGTGCCCAGGTCAACAGCTTTTTTCCCCCTCTTCATCAAGATGGTATTTAAAACAGGAAAGGCCATTTCTACATACAGTATTTATGTCAGTGTCCAAGCTCTTTGTCCTAGATTGTTTAAAGAGGTCAGAAAAGTGTCACCCCCATGCTCCACCTGGTGAAACCTAAATAACAGAAGATCAAATGTCAGCCCGGGGCAGCCCCACCCGAGGTAGACAACATTGTACCTGCAAGGTAAGGGAACAGCGTAGCCAAGTGATGTCTGTGGTGAGAGAGCTGACTGGAGTCCTAGGTCAGCCCTTCCACCGAGCCCACAAATGCTAAGTACAGCCTGCAGAAATACGCCTCACGAAGTGACTGTAGCCATCAACAGGACACGGAGCATATGTGCTACTGTGCCAGCTCTTAATTGCAGAAGCCGAAGGCGTCTATTTCTATCACGGGCGGGAGAGCACACCAACAGCCTCTTTCTAGTTTCTTCACTGGCGGTCAGAGCCGAGCACTGCTTTAAGGACATGGGCTCTGGGACTATTCACCTTCCTGCTCTCTAGTTACTAGTTAATGCCTAATGCCCCATTTTAATAAGTTCTTCATCTACAAAACGGGGATGATAAGAAAAATACTACCCACCTCATAGTCACTCTGAGAATTAACCCGTATGAAGAATGCACAGGTGGTACCTGGGAAGCTGGCATACAGGAAATAAACGTTAGCTGTTACACTTCTTTCTATTTTCAGTTTTTTGGTCTACTGAGAATAATGAAAGAGGGTTTGGACACTGGCATGCTGAGCTTCAAGGCCTGGGGTCACACTTCTAGGCCAACCCCTGCACCTGATAAATGGTCACCAGAAGACCACAGCTGCCTAAATGCTGGCTAAATGGCCTGACCAAGGTTAAACTCTAGGCTTAGTAATTCCAGCCTAGTACACTCTACTGCACAGCACGGTGCTTCCTTTGCATAACAACAACGGCTGGGGAAGGACAGGAGGGCCACTCTGCCAACCACCAAGGTGTCTTCTGGAAAGAGCTGGGGCTAGACATCTTGGAAGAAACAACACTCATGGAAAATTTCAGGGACTGCTCCCGCAGGTAGCACCTTTTATTTTATTTTTAGTTTTAGTTTTTGAGGTGGGGTGAGAGATACTTATGTCCAAAGAATTTATACATAAGCAATACATAAAACACACACTTGAAATACAATTAATTCCTTTTCGGAACAAGTAACTATTCCTCAATGGGGGAAATAATAACAATATTTCACTTATTGGATAGTTTTCAAGTGTGTAACTTGGTAGTGCCTTCTGTTCTTTTTTTTTTTTTCACTGAATTGTCACAAACTAACTCTCCCCCTTGAGGTCCCTGGAACTCCTGATCCACCTGCTTCTGCCTCACATCCAGGGATTAAAGGCCTCAATGTGTTTTGGAGTTGTTTATCAGCCAATTATCTAACTGAACAACAGAATCTACCAGCTGACGAAGAACTGGTATTCATCCAGCACTTCATGGCACTCCACACACAGCAGTCTCGGAGCAGAGGATGAGGCAGGCTGAGCGTAACAGTCACGGAGTGCTGCGGCCTGAGAGATGAAGCTGCTGGTCAAAGGCGGCTCATTTGCGCACTGGCAGAACCCATTGAACTCAGATCCGCAGACATCCTAGCTCTCCATTCTCCCTCTGCCCTTACAAGTTTATTTTGAATACATACCAGTCTGTTTCACAATAGAAGTATCAGTATCTGAAACATTTTGACTTAATAGTGCTCACCGTGCAGTTTTAATCACTTCCCTTAAAGGTAGAAACCCACAAATCACCTTAGAAAAACTTTTTTTTCAAAAACAAAATGAGAAAAGAAAAGCTTTTCCTCACCTCCCCAACTCAAGTTCGCTTGCCATCCTCAGCTTTTTTACTTCCTACTCTACCACAACCAGGACATAAGCTGAAAGTCTTTTATTAATCTGTCTTGAATCTATCCTATTCTCATTCTCTCTCTGACTTGAATAGCAGGAACCTTGTCTGTTCCCTTCATTGCATGCCTCTGCTACCCAAGTCAATGATCAAAACATGGTTGGTGATCAAAACTGAAAACACTGAACAGAGGCGACCGTGCTCAGGCCCACTCAGTTTCCCCTCAATCTTACTGCCCACCGACGAATGTAAAAATAAGGAGCATTAAAAACAGACAAACCAACAGGGACTAGAGAGATGGCCCAATGATTAGGAGAACTTGCTGCTCCTCCTGAGGACCCGAGCTCACTTCCCAGCACCCATGTCAGGCAGCTCACAACTGCTGTAGCTCCAGCTCCTGGGGAACTGACACCCTCTTCCGGCCTCCTTGGGCCACACATTCACGTCTATACACACGGAGACACACGCAGACACAAAAAGTAAATCTTATTAAAGATAAAAACCGAATGACTGAGCCTGGAGATGATTCAGCGGGTAAGAACAGTTGAGAAAACCAAGAGGCCTGAGTTCAACTCTTAAGTAACCATATAAAAGCCTGGCATGGCGACTCATGCACGGAACTCCAAACACTGGGGACGGGATCCCGTGAGCTCACTGGCCAGCCCCTCTAGCCTGAGCTCAGACTCACTGAGACCCCGTCTCAGGAGGCGAAGAACCGGCAGGACGCACGTGGGCAGATACCACACTTAGCAAACACGCAACCGGCAGCAGCACAAGCCCATACAACAAGGTGAGGACACAGAATAACCGAGGCGGCGTTGGCGTCCATTTACAGCCCACTCAGCTCTCAGAGAAGAACCGACGAGAGGGTGTTCAAGTTCAGAAGAGGAGGCAACGGCGTGGAGTCGGGGTTCACGGTTCCTACCCTTCATTCCCGACCCCTGATGCCTCTCTCTACAAAAATCAGTTTCTCCCAACGCACCAGCTGAACCACACCGGAGGCTACTGTGGGTGACTTTCCAGCAAACACCTGGCCTTCGTCAGGCCCTTCCTTCGGTATCTCCCGGGGAATCGAGAGCCCGGTCCTGGTGGCGGTGAGGCACCTTCAGACTCAGCGACCGACCCTCCCTCCCTCTTCGGGCGGAGAGGCGACGGTTCCTGACGCCTCCCCAGGCCTGGGATCGAGAGCGCCCTCAGGCCCAACCTCCCTCCTGAGCCCTCCCGCGGGCCGAGCTCTCCCTACCCCACCGACCCGGCAGACAAAAAGGAACCCGGGGCGGCCTCCGCCCCGGCGAGAGGGGCTCGGACGGGGAGGATCGGGGTGGGGACGAGGTCTCACCCTTTCCGAGCCCGACGCGCCCCTCGGAAGGAGCGACGAGGAGCAGGAGACCGAGGCCCAGCCAACAGGTGGCCCCGAGGCGAGGCGACATCTCGGCGGAGGCGGCTGCTCCGGGCCGCCGCGCGAGGAGGTGGCGCCGCACCGCCGCTCAGCCCGGCCCCCCCGGGTGCCCAGATTGGTTTTTTTCCCCCTCCAACCTGAAGGAAGTGATGTTGGGCGGATGTGGGCGGCGCCTCGGGGGCCCGCTCGGGCACGGGGGGCGCTTAAAGGTGCAGGTCCCCGCAGGGATTTAAATACCGGGTAACTGCATCTCATCGTTAGAGCGTTGTGCGGGGTTCCGAAGAGGCCCCGGGGCGCCCCTTCCGCCGTGCGCTCTGGTCTGGGTCCTGCCGGCGCGTGCTCTGCAGAAGCGCTGGACCCTCTACCCACCCCACAGTTTGCACCGCACGTCTTGCACTCGGGCCTGATGCAACCAACTGACGCGAGCTCCGAGAGCTCCGAGGAAACCGTGGTTGGGGAGGACGAGGGCACCGGGACAGGAGTCACTGCAAGGACTTAAAGTGGGGAGCTTCTGCCCGTTAAATCTGTCGGGTTTTTTGGTGGTGGTGGGGCGGGGTCGGGTCGAGTACGCCTTTTTCCCTCCAACTACTTAACGAGTCAGCGTCCCCGACTTGCCCTCCCGGTCCCGGCGGAGCCCAGCGGGGCTTAACGCTCTGTGCGACAGCCGAAGCACACACCCCCCACCGGCCCCTACGCCGCCCCAGCGCGGAGCCCCAGACAAAGGTTAGCGCGGACGCCGCGGGATGCCGAGGGGACCCCGCCTCCGGGGGCGACGCGGCCCAATCGGAACGGTGGGCGGGGCCGGGGCGATGGGCGGGGCTCGACTCGGCCCGCCCCCACAGCTCTCTCCCGCGGGAGGGGCGGGGCCGCGCGTCACGTGGGCCGCTCCCGGCCAGCCTCGCCCCCCCCACACCCCCTCCCGCGGGAGGGGCGGGGCCGCGCGTCACGTGGGCCGCTCCCGCCGCCGCCACCGCCGCCGCCGCCGCCGCCACCGCCGCCGCCGGGGTCTTTCTCTGTCTCGGCCGAGGCGGCCATCTTGCTCTCGCCGCGTGCTGGCGTCGGAGGACCCTCCCCGCTGCAGGTGAGACCCCCGGCGGGCCCGCCGCCCCACGGCCTCCGGCCGCCGCGCACGGTCTCCCCGCGCCCTCCCCTCCCGACGCCCGTCGTCCGCTCCGGCTGCCACTTCCGCCGTGGCGCGACGAGCGGGGGCGGGGGCGGCCGGCCCGGCCCGTCGGTTACGGGCGGCGCAGCTGGGGGTCGGCACCTGAGCGAAGGTCCCCGGCACCACCGCCCCGCGCGGCCGCACCGGGCCCGGGCGCCGGCCGCGCCGATCCGGGCCCCGGAGGCTGCACCCCCTCCTCGTCCCGCCACTCTGGGCGCCACCGCGGCCGTGTCAGACGCCCGGAGCTGTTGTCGCCTCGCTCGCTCCTCCCAGGCTGCGGCTGGGGAAACTGAGGCTGGCCCCGGCCCCCCCTCCCCGAGCTCTTGGGTCCCCCGCCGGGTCGCAGCGCTCTTCACTTTGTGCTGGCCGTGTTTGTTTACACGTCTGTCCTGATCTGGACACCGCCGGCTCTTGGAACCCCGGCGCACCGCCTGATTGATCGCCTGGCGTAGTGTGACCCAGCTGATGAATGGCGGTTTCAACTTCCGTTTTCCCACGTTTTTTTTTTCTTTTCTTTTTTTTTCATCATATCATTAGTGGTCCTCTGAAAGAGCGGTAACAGTAGTTACCCAGCATCTCACGTGATCCTGATGAGCTGAGCTTTTAGCCTTCGGCCCGGTAACGTGTGCGGTGGTATATACTTTTCTTAATGCGGGAGAAGCGAACACAACTTCAAAGTTAAATTACCTTTCCAAAGCCGGAAGTGGCCTTCTGATTCCATAGCTTTTGGTACTATTAGAGAAACTTCCCATAAAGATGGGGCTGAAAGTTCAAATTACTTTTATCTCTGTGTAAGAGTGATGTGTGTGAAAACCTGGGTACCTAGAACTTGGGTATTCAATAAATACTGATCCATCTCATGAACCTCTTCTCGGAAGTCCTTGAGAAAGTGCAAAAAAGGTTGTGGATGTTCAACTCAGTGATCATGTGGCCCTTGGAAGTCACTTCTCCCTTTGGGACACGAAAGGAACTTACCAGGCCTCCATTTTCTATTAAACTAGGAAGGAGGCTATTTCTTCTTTATGCCCTGCTGCACTGACAGGTATTTGAGAAGACCTCACACATGAAACGAGTGACAGGTACATTAAAAATATCAAGTAAAGATTAGACTAGGTGATCTTTGAGGTCTCAGACTGAGTCTAAATCTTTCCTACTTGAATCCCACGCAGCCCAACTAGCCGTAGACAAAAGGCCACATTTCTCCCTCCCCTGCTGGTTTAAACTCCCAGGCTCCCTAAAATTACACTTTTTCTGAGCTACTCCTTAGGAATAAGATCTCATAGTTATCCAGCTGACTGTTAAATCGTAGTCAGCTGGAATGGAGTCATTCTTTCATCTACACCACAAGAGAGAGTTAATTTTGCTTTTGCTTCAAACAAGTCTGGACTCTGTCTTTCCAGCCTCCATCCCTTTTTCTTTGGGATTGTTACTCAAAACGCAGAATAGTCCCAAAGGGCTTGTCCTGTGCTTAGTTCTAATATTTTCTCCTGACCTCTTTTTTGCAAGAAATTCCTTAAGTGCTTTGTTATTTCATTATACCTTCATGGCTATAGTCCTTTTGTGGATATTTGAATACAAGATTGAGGTTTATATCAGCAAATTTAAGTCTTATGGTACAGCTAAGATTGACACACACCCAAGACTGGATTCTACACATGACTTCTCCCATACAAGACTCTTACCTGCTTGACCACTGTGATGCAGTGTTGAACAAAGTGAAAAGCCGCAGGTTCTAGTTTTTATTTGTGAAATGAATTCAGCCCTACTGCCGTGACATGTGCAGGTCAGTTCCCTAGGTTCAATGCCAGTGCAGAATGGTTGGTTAGTAATTTACATCATCTTTGATTCTCCTTTTTTTTTTTTTTTTTTGCTTCCTTCAAATGTAAAAAACAGTATCCTTCTCACATGAACAATACAGTTACAAGGTCACAGAATTAGCAAAAAGAAAAAAAGTTTAATAATAGCCTTTTCCTGTATTTCTTCCTTCACCTCTCAGTAATGATCTGTTAAGCCACAGAACAAGTCAAACAAGAATGTTCAATTAGCTTTTACCTGTATCTAGAGCATGGACTGTTGTTTTTCATAGCAGGAATGTCACTGGCCAGACCAGAATTCATGATTTTATAATGTTCTTAGAATCCTCAAAACTCAATCTGCATAGCTTATTTTTTGTCTCCCCACCAAGATTCATCTTTGTCAAATTGTGTAATGACACATTTTACCCTAGATGCAATAATACCCAGTCAAATGTGGTGTGCTCTGTCAGTACAGTGCGAGGTCTAGAGTGAACTCGGGTGCTAAAGAAAGAGCAAGTGTTCACGAAGCTGCTGGTTCCCTATTATTAACACGTCTGACCTTGAACAGAGGACGAGACTTCCTTGTGTTTTGACAGCCTGACAACCCACTGTTAAAGTTCTTTGCCTAGGCTTTTTTCTTTGTGTCATATTTTTCCTTATAAGAAATACAGAGTGTGATTCCAGAGAAGCCATCTACTTGAGGTTTTGCTAATAACATTTGGTAACTGTTCTCTGCTGTGAAAGTCTTTAGAAGAACAAGCTGCCTTGCCTAAGGAGATTTCATAATTGGTTAGGTTTTTCTGAATGCCGGAGAACTGAGTCGTGTTTTAAGAAAGGAGCTTTAAGTAGGCAACTTTGAATCCCATTCATTTGCTATTTGTATATTTGACTCCATGTTGTATTCAGTTTTTTTAAAAATTGGTTTGTGAAGCCAGAACAGGTTACCACTATTTGTTAAGAATATAGACAGTATTGATATGATCATAACTGAATGCATTCTGCATAAACTCAGTGACGTAAAAGGTATTGTCTGTATAAATTAAGTTTTTAACTTCGGTAAAACAGTAAATTTAACAAATTTGTTTTCCCCCCTAGATTTGCCAACAGCATGAATCAAGAAAAGTTAGCCAAACTTCAAGCTCAGGTCCGGATAGGGGGCAAGGTGAGTGTGGTGTAAGACAAACAGTAGGAGAACATCTGATTGCCAGATACCATAGCTGCTTTGTGGGTGTGGGCATTGAGTCCATATCTTTTCAGTGATTAAAAGCAGACCTCATTGCTGTTTGACAGTAATTTGTCTAGGTCTAAAACAGGTAATCTCTCTGATGGGGTCATGAAGATAGAGACCTTGGTTGGAATTCTCACTTTTTATTTTTGTGTGTGTGTCTGCATGTTTCACATGTGTAGGCCTGTGTGTCAGCATGTGTAGGCATAGTGTGTCTGCATGTGTTCACATGTGTAGGCATAGTGTGTCTGCGTGTGTTCACATGTGTAGGCGTATGAGCATATGCACCTGCACGTGCATGTGGAGGCCCAAGGCTGATGTCGGTGGCGTCTTTCTCATCCGTGTTCCGTGTTAGACATGAAGGCAGAATCTCACCAGCTGCCTCGCAGGGGTTCCAGGGGCCACCACACCCACCTGGCTTTTCTGTGGGTTCTGGGGAGCCAGACTGGTTCTTGTGCATAACCATCAAGCCAACTCCCCACGACACTGAACCCCAACTCTGAACATCTGCTTGCGCGACATGAGCAAGTTACCTGGTCCTGCTAAGCTTCCATTATTTTCATCTGCAAAAGAGAAATAATCAAAGATGCTTCTGGAAGTTAGAGCATTGTTTACAAAGACCTGCCATGGTGAATGGTTAGTGGCGGTGGTAGTGACGTCTCTCGTGTAGGGAATGATAGCTGTTAGGGCTCCTGTGTCTTGATGAAATGTGGCTACCTGCAATTGACGCACAAGCAGTTTCAGCTGGGAATGTTTGAAGTGAATGTACATTTTGTGGATTGCCTGATTTTTCCTCCCAAATTCCTGCATTTTCTTTCATGCTGGTGAATTGTGAACATTTAAAGTTTTCACTTTAAAGCCTTGGGAAGTTGTAAGCACCAGAACCTTTGTTTTCCCTTTATTTGGGGCCTGAGGCTCAAAGAAAATACTATACCCTCATCTTTGCCCCGCACAGTGTTTGCAAAAGAGAAAGAAAGCACAGTACTTACTTCAAACATGGATGGCTGTGGGAAAGGACAGGTAGAGCGCTGTGTAACCGGGATTAGCATGCTTTACATGGATCGTGTAGCCGGCTCCTGAGCTCCGAGGGTGGGGACAGTGGAGGGAAGCAGTGACTAGTACTTTAAAGTTGGACGGTGTGGAGTCCTATTGGCACATGGGTGGCTACAATGGCCACATTGTAGCACATGCCAGACTTGAGGTTTGTAACAACTAGATAAGACCTGGAAGGGCCGGATGCCCCTCCCCCCAGTTACCTTTACTTCTTGTGTGTGCGCGCGCACGCATACGCACATGGGTGGTTTATACGTGTGTGTCCTTGTGGACCCATGCTTGTGTGGGGTCACATATGTAAGCATCATACATGCTGTTGCTCACTAACTTTTTTTCACATATTTTTTGTGTGCGTGCAAACGCGTGGAGATCTGAGCTCAGGTGTCCATTCTCTGCTTCCACCCTGTGGGGTCCGAGGATTGAACTAAGGTTGTCTGGCTTAGCTGCATGTACTTTAACTTGCTGAGCCGTCTCACCAGCCCCGCTTTATTTTTTGAGATGGTTTCTCCCCAAACCTAAAGCTTGCTGATTGCCTAGACTGGCTGGCTAGACTCCTGTCTCCGCCTTCCAGCCTTCCAGTGTGGGTACAAGTGCATGCTGCTGTTCCACTCCTTGTATCGGTTGTCCGTACTCAGTTCCTTAGGTTTGGCACAAACCCTTGACCTTCCAAGTCATATCCCCATAATTATGTATTTTTAATGTAGTGGTTGGTATATGCATTAATTTATCTACTGTTAGTAGAATGTATAATTTGTACCAAGCATAGTAAATAAACAAGTTTTTTGCTCTCCACATTGACATAACATGGAAGAGCGTCATGCTCACAATTATAATGAGGAATAGCAAGTATTGTAATGAAGGACAAAATATTTACATAGGAGAGTCATGTTGAGATTTAAAGGATAAATAAGGATTTAATTGCAGCAGGTGAAAGGGTTAGTAGGAGGTAGGCTAAAATGGGGATTGCTGTTTGCATATGTGCAAAGGCACACAGGGTGCTGAGGAAACAGGAAGTGGATAGCATGAAGTGACTAAGTAGATTGGACTCCATCATACCTTTATATGCCATTCTAAGGAGCTTGGGATTTTATCCATACACAGTGGGCAGCTATTGGAGAACTTCAAGAAGGAAATGGCCAGGTGTGGTGGTACCAGTCTTTAATTACAGTGCTCAGGATGTAGAGCCAGGAGGTGGATCTCTGTGGGTTCGAGGACAGCTGCTCTACAGAGTAGTTCTAGGACAGCAAGAGCTACATAGCAAAACCCTGTCTCGAAAACAACAGCACAAAAGAGGAAATGACAGCCTGTTTAGGACTGGTGGCAGTTTGTAAAATGGGATCACATGGAGAACAGTCTAGAAGCTGTTGTACAACATGATACACACAGGTGTTGTGCTGGCAGGATTTAGTGACAGACCGGTTTGAGAAGGACTAAGGGTGTTTCCAGGCTTTGATTTAACGAGGGACCGTGGTATTACCGACTCTAAGGTCTTGGAGGTAAGGGAGATTAGCGGACTACTAAATCTGTAGACAGGGTGAACATTTTGGGTTTTGGGGCAGAGTCTCTCTCTAAAGTCCATGCTGCCCAAGTATTTGATATGTTGACTAGACTGGCCTCAGGCTTTCCAGCAATCCTCCTGCCTCTCTTCCCTCTTGCATGCGGGGATTACAGGTGTGTGTACTCTGCATGCATGGTGGCTTAGCTGAGCACCTCAGTAGAGCAGCTCTGCATGGTGCCAACGCTACATAGTGAAACCCTGTCTTGGAGGAAAAATGGTCCAGAATTTTTTTTAATAATCATTTTTATGTGCATTGGTGTTTTGCCTGCATGTATGTCTGTGGGTGTCAAATCTTGGAGTTATAGACAGTTATGAGCTGCCACGTGGGAACTGGGAATTGAACCAGGTCCTCTGGAAGAGCAGCCAGTGCTTTTAACTGCTGGGCCATCACTCCAGCTTCTTGGCCCAGAAATTTTTAACCCATTATTTTAAATAGTTTTTAATGGAAAAATATTTTAAAATGTATTCTGTTTGTATATATGTGTCTCTGTGTCTACTGGTGTCATCAGGGACCAGAAGAGGGCATTGGATCTGCTGAACCTGGAGGTACAGGCAGTTGTGAGTTGCCTGACATGGGTGCTAGGATTTGAATAGCATCCTCTAGAAGAGCAACAAGTACTCCTAACCACTGACCATATCTTGACCCCTCATTTCCAATTATCAGCAGAGAAATGAACTTGCCCTGACTTAGGTACATAGTATTATTTTTGACCTTAGGCCCAAATCCCAAGCCTCATCATCATAGCCCGCACTAGCCCCTCAGAAGTTACTTGTGTTGTGACATTCTTACCTCTCAACCTCCTGTGCCCCGCCCCTGACTGGCTCACAGCCTCCAGGTCCAGTGTTAGTGTAGCAGCCTTGCCAGAGCAAGCAGGTCAGGTGAAGGCTCTGGCAGTTGCTTCCTGCTGCAACTGAAATAACATTGAGCACCTGCCCTGGAGACTAATCTAGGTGGTGTGACCCTGTGTGCTGTCGGGTGTCACTTCCCTTTTCCTGCCTCGTTATTCACTCTGCTCTGGCCACGCTGGCACCCCTTCCTGTCCAGAAGACAAGTTCAGTCCTGTTCCTGCTGCCCGATCGCTCCTTCCCAGTCCTGGGTCTCATTCCTAGCAGCAGCTTTTCTCTTCTACTAGTTTTATTCTCTCTCTCTCTTTCATGTCTTCACTGTGTTTGAAATGATCTAATTTGTTTAAGTACTTGTTGACATTTCCCTTTTATTGTAATACATGAACCTAAGTAAGATCTTGATCTTTTTTCATTTCTGGATTCTCAGACTCTGCCATACTCACTAGTAGAATTAAATCTCACTATAAAATAGTTCCTAAGATTTTACACCATCCTTAGACTTTATTGGCAGGGGCTGTTGGGGATTCTATGAAAGCATGCAAGGCTTGAAAGTTGTTAGAAAGCATACTAAATGGTCTTAGAGTTATAAACTGTGTTCTATTAACAAACAGTATTTTGAAACAATGTATTGAAATGAAAATGTAGACATTGAAAAGGAATGGTAACTGACTAGAGCTGTCTTTCCGGTGTTGGCTGAATATCAAAAACTCTGTAGTCTTGTTAGTCACTGCTGTATGGTTAGTTTTTCCAGTGCAGATTTTAGGTTGTGGCTGGGAGGATGTGGTTGCTGTAGCCAGTCCTTATGCATAGTAACACCTCTGTCTGGTTATCTCCAGGGCACAGCTCGCAGGAAGAAGAAGGTGGTACACAGGACAGCTACTGCTGATGACAAAAAGCTTCAGAGTTCTCTGAAGAAACTGGCTGTGAACAATATAGCTGGTATTGAAGAGGTATGGGCACTTTGAAAACATAAATTATAGAGAACTAGTACATGCACATTTGACTTTCAAATCAAAATACTGGCTTGGAAGAATCTTTAATACTCCGTTCATGTGTCTTTGAAAAAATGTAGTGGTTGAATTTGGTCTGGGGATGAAATGATTTTAGTAAGCAGTTAAAGATTTTCTTTATACTTTTCAGACTTAAGGTATTTGCATGTATGACAACTGTGAAGCTGCTCGTGAGCTTTAATGTAACATAAGATTTCTTTTTCTGTTTTGCTTTGTTTCTGTGGGTCATTCTATATCCTGGACTGGTCTCTAACTTGGGATCTTGCCTCCCTAGTATTGGTATTTAACAGAGCATGTGCCCTAGGGCCTAGCAAGTCTGTCTGTCTGTCTTTTCGTTTTAGGTTTTTGTTGTTGCTGTTTTGTGTTTTGAATCGAGATTTCTCTGTGTATCTTTGACTGTCCTGTACTCGCTTTATAGAACAGGCTGGCCTCAAACTCACAGAGATCCGCCTGCCTACCTCTGCCTCCCAGAGTGATGGGATTACAGACATGTTATTGTACCCAGCTTTCACGTTATTTTTTCTAATAATATAGAAGTAAAGCCTAATAATTTTTTCAAGTGAGACTTTTAATTTTACTGTAATTCACCTTTCTAAGCTGGGTCCAGTGGCACACACCTGTAATCCCAGCGTTCAGGGAAAGAGAGGCAGGTGGATCTGTCTGAGGTTGAGCTCAGCCTGGTCTACAAAGTGAGTCCAGGACAGCCAACTCTACCCAGAGAAACCCTGCCTCAAAAAAACTTAAAAAAAATAAAATAAAATAAAATTCACTTTTCTGTACTACAAAGTCTATCACCTTTTCAAAAAAACTTCTAGAAGTAGCTTTATGTGAATTCAACTCCTCCCTTTCTTTCTTCCGTATTTTTGTTACTTATTTATTTTGATTTTTTTTGAGACAGGACCTCACTATGTAGCCCTGGTTGTCCCGGAACTTACTTGGTAGACAAGGCTGGCCCGTATGCACGCTGCTAGGAACCAAACGTCAGGGCTTCGTGCACTCTAGCTAAGCACCCTGTCGCTGAGTTACTCTCAGCTCTTACATGCCTTTATGATAACATCTACTAAAACTGTAGTTACTTCCTTTTTGCTGATATTGTCACTCTAATTTTCATTTTTAGGTACAAGTTCTTGCTATATAGACCAGATTGTCCTAGAATTCACAGTGTTCCTGCTTAGCTTCCCAAGTGCTGAGATTAAAACCATGTGCCACACTCCCACTTAGTTGTAACGCTCTGAGGCGTCACAGCCTAGAGCGACACCGAGAATTAGTGCTGCCTGTCATAGGGAGCATGCATATTCTCACCGCTTCTGCCTGCTTCCAGGCGTTCCCGGCCGCACAGGCTCTATGGAGAGGAGAGCACACAGGGAGGAATTAATGATCCAGATAACAACTGTGAAGTTTTCAGATATCTGAACAATCTAAGATGAAAAAGTTTTACTTTTTTTTTTTTTTCTCTTTCTGAACTTGATCTTTTCGGTAGCAAGACATTTGTTTACATAACTTTTGCAGATTTAAAATATTTCTGCTTAGGAACATGTAGAATATTATATGTGCCCTGACTTACTCACATACTTTTGGGTTAAAAACAGCTTCTTAAGAGGGATAAAAAGTATGCATGAAAATATGTAATGGGCTGCTCATGGTGGCCTACAGCTTTAATCCTGGCATGCACAAGGCAGAGGTAGGTGGATCGTTGTGAGTTTGAGGCCAGCCAGGAATACATAGCGGTTCCAGACTAGCCAAGGCTATGTAGTGACACCCTGGCTTGAAAAAAGCAAATCATATAATGATTTTCAGAAACACTGGGATAGGAAAATCAGATCTGTCTTAGAATACGAGAGCAGCAAGATGGTTTAGCACGTTAAGGCCCCTTGTCCTTTGCCTGTATACATTGCACGGCTTAAACTCATGTGAAATGCATAGCTTGCTTTGTGAATTTGACAAGTTCTTTCCTTTGCCTGAAAAAGCAGGAGAACTGATCTTGCTTAGCCCTGAAATTCATCCTTTGATTGTGCCCAGGAACCTTACATAACTGCCATTTGCTTAGTAGGATAGAAGGGAAACTCATCGGAAATGAAATATTCTGGCCTTTTTCATTTCTTGTATTCCAGTCTTGATATTCTAAGATTAACTTTCCACTCTTTTCTGATCTTTCTATTCATTCAGCTGCATCCATTACACCACCCATTTAAAAGAATCACGAATAAATTTACCCGCAGTCTAAAATGGACTTCATCTTATTTATCACACTCAAATGAGACAATCAGCATTTTACACTAAAAAGACAGGTGTCAGGATGCACCCAACCTTCAGCCTGCGGAAATGAAGCCTGACAAAGTTTGTGAATGTGTGGTTATTTTGTAATTTCTAGGGATGTGTCTGTAATTTCTCTGTTAAAGTCTTGCCTGAAGCTTGAGGAGCCCCTTTCTGCTCCTCCATCCTGTGCTGTCAGCAGTGTTGACCCTTCTGAAGAAGAGAAGCCCACTGGCCCTGAGAGCACTCAGCACCTGTGTGATGGACAAGGACAGCTTTAAGTGTTAGTGCTCCTGGCCTTTTTATAGACAAAGAGCTCATCACCAAGGTGACTTTTGGAGTGGAGTCAACCGCGTGGTGGAATGACATTATTTACACATTTAACTAGTGTAAATGAGATCATACCAAAACAGAACAAATGCAGAAAGGTAATTCATGAGTGAGAAATAGCAATTTAAATAGCATTTATTCAGTCTTCTATTTATTCAGTAAATCCCAGGATAACAGAATAATCTCAAATAACCAGTTCACATTGGTAAAAGCTAAAGAAATAATGGCAGGATGGTAGTAAAAGACTCTCAGTTATTAACAAAACATGTTCAAGTGGTTAAGTGTGTGAGAGCTTTGTTTGCAGAAATTAATGAAGGTGGTTGAGAAGGTGTATTTCAGAATTAGAGAGCCAGGTGCAGTGAGACGTGCCTGTAATCCCAGCACTCAGGGAGGCAAAGGCAGGCAGATCTGAGTTCAAAGCGAGCCTGGTCTACAAGAGAGTCTAGGATAGCCAAGGCTACACAGAGAAACTCTGTCTCGAATAAATAAATAAAGATTAAAGAAAACTGTCAGGCCTATCAGTACAGATCTGTAGTTCCAGATACTTAGAAGCCTGAGGCAGGATGATCACAATTCAAGGCCAACTGGCAGCTTAGTAAGAATCTTTGTGAATGGCTCAGTGGTGAAGGCTGCTCTTTAGAGGACCTGAATTCAATTCCCAGCTCCCACAGTTGTGGGCAGCCACAACTTAACACCCGAATACAGACATAGGCAAAACACCAGTGCACATGAAAATAAAGAAACAAAGAACCAACCTCAAAGTGAAGTGTAAAGGGCTGGGGGTGGGCTCAGCTCTGCTTACCCAGAGCACCCCACCGTGGCCACAGCTGCTTGAGAGCCTCACTTGACATCACAAGATCCCTGTGTGTGGCTTTAAAAAGCCCACGACCTGCGTTGTCTGCGAGCCCATCCAGGTGGAAGGAGCGCTGCGTCTTTTCAGGCCCCCATCGTGCACATGCACAGTAATAAACGTTTAAAAAGAAGCCAGGCACTGGGAGTGCAAGCTTCAATCCCAGCACTCAGGAGGCGGAGGCAGACAGGTGTCTGCATTTGGGGCCGGCCTGGTCTACAGAGCAAGTTTCAGGACAGCCAGGGCTACTCAGCAAAACCCTATCTTAAGAAACAATTTTTGAAAGAACCAAAAGGACTGACCAATTGCTTGTAAAGAGTAGCATGACGGGGCTGGAGAGGCAGCTTGGAAGCTAAGAGTGCCTGGTGATTTTGCAGGAGACCCAGGCTAGGTTCCCAGCACCACACAGCTGCTCACAAATGTAGATAACTTCAGGGCATCCGACGCTCTTTAAACAAAAACCAAAACCCTTCTAGGTCTCGGGTACACGTGTGATAAAAGAAAGCCTCACTCCAGGTGTGGAGGTCCATGCCTTTATTCCCAGCACTCACAGGCAGAGTTCCAGGCCAGCCAAAGATAACATGAGACCCGATCTCAAAAACAAAAAGAATTACACAGTAAAAAAGGAAACTGACATTTTGCTGCATTTTCTGAGCCTCCAAAGAAGTAAAATGCTTAAATGTCTGTGTCGTCGCTGTGAATTTGTGAGTAGTTACCTGTATGTATTTCCGCGGTTGCCACATGCTTTTTCCTCCTTTCTGTCTGTCCTCAGTAAGCTGCTACCCCACCAAGTGGCAGTTGCACTCATTTTGTTTGATACTATAAATTGAGTAACTGATCTCATTAAGAATCTGGTTCTTGGGGATGGAAAGATGGCTCAGAGGTTAAGAGCAGTACTTGCCCTTCCAAAGGTCCTGAGTTCAATTCCCAGCAACCACATGGTGTCTCACAACCATCTATAATGAGATCTGGTGCCGTTTTCTGGCGAGCAGGTGTACATGCAGACAGAACATTGTATACATAATAAAATAAATAAATCTAAAAAAAAGAGAGAGAGAAGCTAGTTCTTAGACATAGTTCTACTAAAAACAAAAAACAAAAGTGGCCGGAACTTCTCCACCTGCATGACTGTTTCATAGCTTATGAATTACTACTATGTAAATGGCATATTACTAAAACTGCTTTTCTAAAAATATATTTTAGTTGAATCTAGCCTGTGAAATACATTGTTTTCTGTGCCCATACAGGTGAACATGATTAAAGACGATGGAACAGTTATTCATTTCAACAATCCCAAAGTCCAAGCTTCCCTCTCCGCTAACACCTTTGCAATTACTGGTCATGCCGAAGCCAAACCAATCACAGAAATGCTTCCCGGAATATTAAGTCAGCTTGGTGCTGACAGCTTAACGAGCCTTAGAAAGTTAGCGGAACAGTTCCCGAGACAAGGTACGTCTTTCCAGTCGGTGCCTTTGCCTCTCCCCTGCTGTAGGCAGAAGCCTGATTTTAAAAGACCGAGTCTAGACTAGGGGTGTGGTCATTTGACAGTACCAGCCAAGTGTGCAAAAGGTTCTGCTGAGTTCCCAGCAGGAAATAAATAGGGTGTGATGGCACACGCCTGTAATTCCAGCAGCAGTTCAGGTTAGCCCCAGCTGTATAGGGAAAAGGTGTTTTTCTTACGCGGAGGGGATTTGCCTCAGTAGGTCATTCTTTTACTTTTTATAATTCCATTTGGGAGCTTCATAAAACTTGTAGTTTGGAGGTTTTTAGTTCGGTTTGGTGTTTTGATACACGGTTTCTCTGTGTAGCCCTGGCTGTCCTGGAGCTCACTCTGTAGATCAGGCTGGCTTCAAATTCACAGAGATCCACCTGCCTCCCAAGTGCTGGGATTAATGGCGTGCACCTCCACAGCCGCCACCACCTTGGCCATAATTTTCTTTTTGATTAATGAAATGTGTCTTCAGATAAAATATTGTTGATTGCTGCTATGCTGCTGTTTTACCATTATAAATATGGTAATCTTCAATTTTGAATTTCCAGTTGGTTTTGATTGCATGCATGCCTTGTTTTCTCCAACCATCAAAGAGCCTTGTATTTCAGAAGTCACATGGTCATACTGCATAGCTAGATACTTAGATCAAATTAAGTGGGAAAAAGGTCTCTCATATTTTCTAGTTGTGAGATAGTATGACCAATACCTTTGTTCAAGCTTCTCAGGTTCTTCATTGCCATTTAATTTTTACCCTTAGAGCACATTAGAATTACCAGCTATAGTAAGTATATAGTTAATTTAAGTTAAAATTTCATTGTTTTTAGTGTTAGTTAAGCAAAAAAACAAAGACCACACACAGCCATGAGATCTAGACAGAGGGAAGGTAAGCATTAGAGTTCTGTGAAGCTCTCTGTTCTCAGGGACTAATACTCAAATCAACTTTTTGTAGTATTGGACAGTAAAGCACCCAAACCAGAAGACATTGACGAGGAGGATGATGACGTTCCAGGTAAAGGACATTTTGTTGCTGTTAAAGTTTGTCTCAGACCAGTGAAACTGTTCTGGTAAAGATGGTTGATGGCCTGGGACCCACACGGTGGAAGGAGAGAACCAGCAAAGCAAGTTATCCTCTGACCTACACATACACACACACACTACAGTATAATTTTTAAAACTAAGGAAAAAAAATTTTTTTTCACATACTACATAGATGACTTTCAGAAGATTTTTGACTGACTCAATTCCAGTTGATTTATAGTGATGTGGTAGGCTTCTAGTTAAGGTATTAGCTGACCTGGAAGACAGCGGCCCTTCCCCCATCATCATCAGGCTAGAAAACTAAGGACTGGAACTTCAGGTCAGAGAAATATCCCTTAAGTCCTTTGAAGAGATGTGACATCCTGAAATCCGGTTATAGAATACGGTCTAAGCCTGGCTCCGGAATGCTGAACCTTGTAAAAGATTACTGTATAGCAGAAGGCTGTCCGATAAAGAACAAAGACACTATGGCCTTCTGTCAGACCAAAGGGGCCTGTCACTCACCTGAACAAAGCTGTTTGTTCTGGGGACTTGAGAAATAGTAGACAGCCTTCCTGGCGTGCAGCCTGGGTCACACTCACCCCCTCAGTGTGGGCTCTACTTTATTATCAGTGAATTTAGCTGTCTTCTATGCTATTTCTCTTTTATGTAAGTTCTTTAGATACAGATCACAAAGACCAGATCACAAAGATCTCACCAGACTGAGATCCCTGTGAGAGGATAATAATGAATAAGAATACAGAAGTCCCCTCACTCACAACTCAGAACCTGTCACATGCATGTGTTAAGTTGAAATCACTGTGATTGTCAGCATACATTGTTACTGTTGACATTTTTGCTGTGGGGCTGAAGAAATGGCTTCTCTTCCCGAGGACCTGGATTCAGTTTTCAGCACTCACGAGCTTCACAGCTTCACGCACAGGCTCACAAGCTTCTGTAATCCCAATTCCAGGGACCCAGTGCCCCCTTCTGGTCTCTCCATCACTGCACACACACAGTGCACAGACGTTCAGGCAAGCACCAATACACATAAAATAATAAAGCAACTCTGAAAACTGCTGGCGCTATAAGTGACATTAAAATATTATTCACTTGGTTATTTTTGCATACATTTTTAAAAGTCATTTCCTTAAGATTACTGCTTTATAAAAGTCATTGTACTGAAATGCCATTAGTTTGTTTCTGCCTTTTCTGTTTTTTTGACTGCTACTAGGTGCAACTATTTTGACTCATTTGCATTTTACTTATTTTTTTCCTTTCTTCTTTTTGTCAGATCTTGTAGAAAATTTTGATGAGGCATCGAAAAATGAAGCTAACTAAAATCCTCTGGGTTTTGGAAGCTGGCATGGACTAGATTTAACAATCAGCTCTGTTGTTCCAAAGTTTTACAGACATGGAGAAACATCACCTGTTATTAGTTCAGTAATATAAATATTTTGTATATTAATAATGCTGTTTGTTCAGCATTTCTTGGTCATTTGATTTTGCATTTTGCACTTCTTCCCAGGATCTATTCTTTTGGTCAAAATATGAAGTATTGGTGCAGTTTGAGGGTGGTTTTTGGTTTGGGGGGGAACTTTTGGTGTGTATGTATATGTATGTATGTGGGTATGTGTGTACACAGTGGACCACAAGTTGGATAACAGTTATATCTAGCCTATTCTTTCCTCTAGTAGAAATAAAACAAATCTTTACATTTGTTACTTTGTTTTCCGTAACTGCACATAATTGATGAAACGCGATTGTCTTTGATTTCAGATCTGAAGAGAGTCCTGCCGTTGGAAGTTTGGTGTTAATTTGCTCAGTTAACTGTAGTGTTTTTTTATACTCTTCTCTGGGTTGAAGATGTCTTGAACATTTTGCCACCAGATTGCTGCCGGAGTCATAAGCCGGGCACCTTTGATGTGGCTGCCTTAGACTCACTTTCTAGTCAGACCCAGAAGTTTTCCTTTTATTGGCTTCCTTCCTGGTGCCGCGCATCCCCCATTTTGGTCTTTAAATGGACTGGTCAGCCTTTGATAACACTCTTATCTTCTGCCTAGCTTGAGGCAGTTCTCCATAGAGATCTGAGAGAGTGCCTAATCCCGCTTTCTGTTTCTTACCCTGAGGAACAACTCCATCTTCAACATTTATTTCCCTTCACATTTGCGGTTTGCTAGATTCAACTGGACTAGTTGGAATGTGCTTACTAAATAGTTTTATACCGGGGTTATCCTGTTTCCTAGCTGTTCTTGGTAGCAGGTGCTAGGGTACCTCTTTTTCAGCAAGGTTGAGCTGGGCACATCCTTTTGAATGGAAAGAACTTACAGATGTAGATTTCTTGTGGCAGACACGGGCATTCTAGATTTCTTGTGGCAGACACGGGCATTCTCTGAAACGGTACTGGTCAGGAGAGCTTCCGCAGCCTCTCTCCCATTCTTGGTCTCGAACTTTCCTCTGGGTAGATCTGACTGATTGTAGCTGCTCAGATCAGCCTCCTGCATGCTTAGGACAGTGCTTTGCAGGGCACAGTGGTAAAACAGTATATATTTGCTTACCTCCTCTCGGAGGACTTGGAGGTAAGGTGTATTCATTCACTCAGGTTTCCTCTTGCTGTCTGGTAAAAGCGTGTGTTTTGCATCAGCATTTATTATAGCCAATATTTTAGGATGAGGCTTAAAGACCTGTGTCCTGGCCCATCACAAACTAACTCAGCTCAGCCTTGCAGCATGCCGACTTCTGTTTCAGGCTAGACGGCTCTCCTTGATAGCTAAGGTGGAAGACCAGCAGCGTACTGAGAGGGCTGTAGACATGCAGGCAAAGCTCCTGTGTCTTTTTTTGTCAGACATTTTCAATTTATTTTAGAAATTTGTTGATTTTTTTTTGTTATGTTTTATATAATATATGGACGTAACAAAATAAATAACAGTAATAAAATAACCGTACGAAAGAGGAGACTATTTCCTCTAGTGCCTTTGTTAATTGTTGTCTGCAGTTCTTTTTCTGTTCCTCCATACTCTCCATAAATAAATTCTCATGTGGTCATTGGTAAAATAATCTCATTCATTGTTAGGTCAGTACTGTACCTGGTCACTTACTCCAGAATTTGTTGCTGTGACTACCCAGAGGCTCACTGTGAGTCGGAGAGCAACAGACAGCGTAGTGGATGGAAAGAGGGAGTGTATCCAGAGCAAGGACATTTGTGTTCTGGTCCAGATTCTGGCTTTATGTGGCCTGTCCTCATGACCAGACTACTCTAAATTTCATCATCAGTCCAGTAAGATATTTGTGAGTATAAACTTTCTCCTGCTCTCACAGTTCTGAGACTCTCACTTTGGGACTTCTCTAAGAAGGGATTTTGTCATCTGTTGAAGGCTGTCTTTATTTTTGACCAGCACAGATTTTATACACATATCACCCTTCACATTTTGGTCACATTTTAGTTTCTCAGAGTCATTCTGGTCAGTATCCCCCTTTACCTGATTGTCAGCAGCTCTTCCTTCTGGCCTTCATTTGTGTAAAGAACCATTATTCCGCTGCCTGGAGAGATGGCTCGTGGTTAGGGGTGTGCTGCTCTCAGAAGACGCCTTAGTCCCCAGCAGCTCCAGGGCATCCGACATACTCTGGCTTCCTTGGCAACTGTACTACACACACACTTTAAAATAGAAGAAACAATGTTTTATCTTATTTCTATACTTCTTTGAACAAAAATATATTGAAATGCTCAACAAAGAACAATGCTTTCAGAGTGGGTAGACATAAAATAAAGATAAAAATATGGGTGAAACTTTAGTAAATGTACAGTTCTTGGCAAAAACATGAATTAAATGGTTATATTTACAAGTTGTGTGTTTGTGTAGGTGCAAATATATGCTTTGGGGTTTTTTTTTTTTTGTTTGGTTGGTTTTCAAGACAGTTTCTCTGTGTGTCCTTGCCTGTCCTGGAGTTCACTCTGCAGATCAAGCTGTTCTCAAACTCACAGAGAGGGACTGGAAATATAGATCAGCAGTTAAGAGCACTGGCTGCAATTCCAGAGAACCTAAATTCAATTCCCAGCACCCACAAGGCAGCTCACAACTGTAACTCCTATTCCAAAGGATCTGACCCTCTCACACATGCAGGCAAAACACCAGTGTAAATAAAATAAAAAATAAGTAAATTAAAAAAAAAAATACTCAAGAGATCTGCCTGCCTTTGCCTCCTAAATACTGAGATTAAAGGAGTGCACCACCACAGCCTGGCTTAAATACATGCATTTACAATAAAGGCGAGGTATGGGATATTGCCTTTACATTTTAAAAATAATTCACGGAAAAGTGAGATGAAAGGGAGGAAAGGCAGAAGAGTACAGACGGCAGGAAATTGCTGTGTGGCCTGTTGTTTTGAGCTGCGTTCTCACTGTAGACTAGGCTGGCTCTAAACTCAAGAGCTGTGCCCCGAGCACTGGGGCTGAGGGTGTGCACCCCCCCCCCCAATTAGCTGTGTGGTCTTACCATTAAAAAGCATCTCATTGGTGTATTTGGGGGACACTCAAAATAGTCTCATGCTGACATTTATTTTCTATTTTCCCGTCAAGGGATGGTTTAAGAATCAAGCACCTTAATTTATTATTAAGGAATGAGTGCTTATACAATTCCATTACATTTATTTAAGAAGCTACCCAGCTCTCAGAAAAGCTGTATGTGGGACATACTCGGTTGTTTGGTTTTAATTCAGTGTTTAGCTCTAAGTATGCTGTGTACCTGTAAAAAGACACTATAACAAGAGATAGTGTAATAGTAGCAAAATGGCAGGCTTTAGGGTAACCTTTCACAGAGATGCTGTAGAGGACAAGCCCAGAGAGCCATGGCTCATGTTGCTCTATTCAGAGGGTACCACGGCATTCTCTCCGCCCGTTTCCTCTGAAGGATGGGTTTTAAGATTTAAGCAGAGGTCTTGGAATGTGAAGGAGGATGATTACTGTGTGTTATCTTCCACACCGTGGCAGAGAGTTGTTTCCTGGGAGTTAACCAGGCAGAGCAGGGTTCTGCTGCGTTGTCCTCAGCTCTGCCTTTATTGGTTGCCTTGACACAGTTCACCTGGGTTAACACAGCCTCCTTATTATTAGTCTTTCTCCCAGTATTCTGCTCAGAAGCCGAGCCTCCTAGACTTCCTGTCTGAGTATGTCGCCCTGCATTCATCTCGCAGCATACCATGCTGGTACTACATATGTTCTGTCACCCAGGGTATAAACACGTTGATAGACGTCACGTCGCACATTGTCTCCAGCAGCCAACATCGTGCCTAACAAGTCACTCAAGACTATGAAAACTTACATTTACCGACTATAAAAGTATTTCATTTAATTCTCCATTTGGTAGAACAAGTATCGTCTCAGTGTAAAAGAGGAAATAAAGAGTAGTTTCTAAAGGTCAAACTAATTTGTAGGAGAACTGATATAGATTCTTAGGTAGAACTATTAAATTCTAGGCTCCAATCCCTTAACATCACCCCGTACTCTCCAAAACCTTTGTCTGTTTTGAAATGCTGGGGATTGAACCTAGGGTACCATGCATGCCTTTCAAGGGCTCTACTACTGAGTAATGTATTGAAGTGAAACCTATGTGATATAACCTTTAGTCGGATAGCACATTCAGATTATCTAGTTTTATTCTGTAGGTCCAACCTATCTGAAGGATCACTCAGGAAGTCACTTTAAATATATTTAATTTTGTATATATGGATGTTTTGCCTGCATGAATTCCTGTGCATCGCGTGTATGCAGTGCCCACAGAGGCCAGAAGAGGGCGTCAGAATCTTAGGAATTGGAGTGAGATGGGTTGTGAGCAGCTACGTGTGTGCTGGGAACAGAACTTGGGTCTGCAGGAGCAAACATTTAAATGCTAAGCTACCACAAGCGCAGTTGTCACAGGTGACTGGAAGGGTAGCCTTGACGTCAGGACATTCTCCAGGCTGTGGTTTTGAGAGTCTTGAGTACTAGGCACCAAGTCCTGTCTCCATGGTGTCACAAGAAAATAGCACATATTAAAAAATAAATAGGGGCTGGAGAGATGGCTCAGTGGTTAAGAGCACTGTCCGTTCTTCCAAAGGCCCCAGGTTCAACTCCCAGCACCCACATGGCAGCTCACAACTGTCTGTACCTCCAGTTCCAGGTGATCTGACACCCTCACACCAATGCACATAAAATAAAGTTAAATTGTATATTTAAAATGAATAAAGTATCACAGAAGGAAAGAATAATTATCAGTATGTGTTCCAGGCCTGGTTTGTTGCCAGGATACTGACAAGTCCAGCTCATACCCACAGAACTTAAGCCTAGAAAAGGGCTCAGGGTGTGTACAGCTCACTGGTAAAGTGCACACTTAGCTCACGGGTCTGTGATACCCTGGGTTTGCTGTACCTTCGTACTCCTACTATGTAGGATGTGACTTCACTTCAGCTGCAGATGATCAGACCAAGCGGAGCGTCTAGTCCATACAGTAAGCTGGGTCAGTCCATTCACTTCTGAGGACTCGTCGTCTTAATAAGCTGAGTGTGGCCACGTAGCCTTGAGCTGAAGCCCTGACGTCGGGCTGTGCGGAAGCTGGCAAGAATAAGACAGCAGGCAACCCTACTGGGAAAAGAACCTCAGAGAATTACTGCAGTTTCTCATCCCGTGATGTCAAACTGTCCTTTTCTGGTTCTGAGCTGCTTACTAGACGGTTTTTGTTCTGGTTTGGTTTTTTGAGATAGTGTTTTCTCTGTGCAGCCCTGGCTGTCCTAGTGCTCTGTAGACCAGGCTGGCCTTGAACTCACAAAGATATGCCTGCCTCTGCCTCCCAAGTGCTGGGATTAAAGGCGAGTGCCACCGCAACCAAGCTACTAGCAGGATTGTTGTGTTCTTGAAAACACTTCTGCCACTGTCACGGTCAGAGCTAGATGGAGAGATTGTTCCTGGCTACTAATGATCTTAGAGTGAGGACACTAAATACTTTTTACAAAAATTTATTGAAGGGCTGGACATAGTGGCATGTGCCTTGTAAATTCAAGTCCAGCCTGGGCTACCATACTCCAACCAAGGACCTAGACCCCCTGTTCAGATGAAGCCCATAGGCTGCTCAGTTTCCAAGTGGGTACCCTAGTAAGGGGAGCAGGGACTGTCTCTGATATGAACTCAGTGGCTGGCTCTTTGACCACCTCCTCCTGGGGAGGGGGTGCAGCCATGCCAGCCCACGTGTTAATGAGACCTGATAGACTAGGTTCAGATGGAAGAGAAGGAGGGCCTCCCCTATCAGTGGACTAAGGGAAGGACTAAGAGGGAGGGAATGAGGAAGGGGACTACAGCCGGAACACAAAGTGAATAAATTGTAATAAATGATAACAAACATTAATTTTAAAAGTACTGATGGGGGTGCAGTTTTAAGCCACTTATCTAGCATGTGTGAGGCCAGCCCTAGCCCCTGAACAGATGGAAACGTTGCCTTTGAAATGCTCATTGTCAGTGCAGGGCTTCGAATGAGAATGGAGTTGGACTAGATCAAAGCAGTTTCTGACCCCAAAGGGATTGCATGTGGTTGTGGAGTGTGAAGAAAAACAAAATTGGAATGCCAGCAGCGGCGCTATATTTACATTTCAGTCTACTGCCCCTCCTGTGCCTTGCATGATTTAGTGGCTGAAATACCGCGGCGCATCGTGGGAACTCAGTAAACCCTGGCTTCTTACTGAGGAAGAATGATTTACTGTATGTCTTCATCAATAATAGGTAATGGTTTTAGTCAAATTTGCAGTATTTACTAGCTGAGACAGATCTCAACAGGAAGTCCGGGCTGGGCTTGAATTGGCAATCATTCTGCCCTAGCCTCAACCTCAGAATTGTGGTGCCACACTTGGTTTTCAATATATATTTTAATTAAGAAACTTGTTCTTGAGTTTCTTTCTCATTTTCACCTCCCCCCCCACACACACACACACACACACAAATCCTTACAAAATGTCAGAGAAAGGAAAGAGAATGGATGAATTAAAAACATACAAATATAGTAAAATTGGATCCTGGGCTTCTCAGGAACAAAGTTTTATTTCTTTCTCTGCAGCTTTCAGTAAAGGACTTGCGTAGTTTAAGTGTGTATCAGGTAACCTTTGAATCAGTTGTATTTGGCAATTTGTGAACAACAAAGTGTTTGAGCCCGGTGGCTAGAGATGTCAGTGTCACAGTCTACCCAAGGCGCCGCAGGTATGGCAGTAACATGCTTCCCAGTCACGTAGGCCAAGCAATGGCAACTCATACTCAGCCTTGAATCCTTCTTACTCTGGGCCCCACCCCCAGGCTACTAGCCTCTGCAACAACTGCCAAAGGGGCCATAGAAGTATTCCAAATGGAAAACCTGTCACCTCTAAAACCCAAAGGACCCTAGAAAATGTGCCTGCTGTGGAAATGGCCGTTCTTTACTCGGGAGGGGTCACTGGTCCCCTCAACACGGGTGTGTCAGCCCTCTAGATCTAACTTCTCTCTCTTACCGTTAGGGTGTTCCTTACTAGACCCTCCAGAGTGCGTAACACCTTCTTCGAATTAGGCCAGTAATCACGATAGCACCGGAACACCGGGCTGATGGGGTGTTCTGCAAAAGGCCGACCGCTTTGGCCCTTTGTATTAAAAGTGACAGAGGGCACGTGAGTGTTGATATCGGGGGAAAATTAGGATTGTGTACTGTTATCATCCATGGTCGTCTTTTTCGAGACGGGCGTGGGAAGGCTATATTTACCAGACCCCTGACTGTGAGCCCGGTAATGGAGTTTTCTGGAGAGACGCTGTGCCTGGAACAGCAGCTGGGAGTGTCCACTGTGTACCAAGCTGGGCCACTAGTCAGCTGTCACAACCACAGTTTCCCAGAATCCGGACTTCTGGATCAACTGGGAATTTGACAGGTATCACCACATTCATTCTCATAATCCACTCCCACTCCAGTTTTCTCCCTTTCCTCCTCCCTTCCCCATGCCCAGGCTGTCTGTAGAGCAAGCGGCCTTGGAATCGTGGTTCTCCCATCCTTAGCGCTGCGTGTCCGTGCTGCCACGCCTGGATCCATCCTTGAATTCTTTGTTGTCCTTACGTATTGTTTTGTTTTGTTAGACAGGGCTTCTCTGTGTAGCCCTGGCTGTCCTGGAACTCACTCTATGGATCAGGCTGGCCCTGAACTCACAGAGATTCTCTTCCTGCTTCCTGAGTGCTGGTGTGTGTGCCAATACCGCCTGGCCATCCTTGCATTCTTAAAGGAGGCATTAAACTCTGTCACTTTCCTGGGATAGGACAGGTTTTGATTTGCTATGTTGGCTACTGTCAGAGCCATTTCAGAGGCTTCCTCTTGGCCTCTTACAGCATGTCGGAGCTACTTCAGTCCCAGTCATCTGAGCCTTTTGACTCCTCCATACTTTCGTCTGGGGGTTATGGTAATCTTGCTTTAATGTGGATTACACTTGTCACTTTCCAGAGCTTCGGAACAGCATCCTTTAGTTCTTGTTTCAACAGTACGTATATTAATATTGGAATGATCAGGAGATTAGGATGGACCCTGTGCAAGGATGGCACAGGATTTCATGGAACACTCCATCTTTCCTTCTCTTCCTTTCTTCCTTCCTTTTCAGAGCAAAAAACCCTTTTTCTTTCCCTTTTTTTAAATTTTTATTTATTCTCTCATACAATATATCCTGACCCCAGCTTCCCCTCCTCCTCACCTCCAGGTTTCCCCAGCCACCTCCCCTCTCCCCTAGATATACTTTCTCCCCTGTGCCCCCACCCCCCGAAAGAAGCTGGCCTCCAGGGAACATCAATTGAACATGGCACAACAAGATACAATAAGACCAGGCACAAACCCTCCCCTCAAGGCTGCGGGAAGCAACCCAGTAGAGGAAAGGGATCCCCTAAACAGGTGAAAGAGTCAGAACCCTCCAACTCCCACTGTTGGGAGCCCCCCCCCAAAAAAACACCAAGCTAACAACCGTAGCACAGATGCAGAGGACCTAGCACCAACCATGCAGGCTCCACAAAATAAAACTTCTGGTGCCACAGTAACGAAGGTGTAGAGTCGCATCTGGGGCCCCTTGCAGGAGGTCAAATCTAGCCACAGGAAAGCCCTTCAGTGTTGGGAAACTCTCAACCTAGCTTTACCCCATCTCCCCAGCCCTCAAGCACATTCTCCTGGCGCTTGGGAGCCAGGTCCAGTGGCGACTTTGGTGTATAATCTTTTCATCTTAGCAGACCCCATACTCACCTGGCTGTGCTAATTAATAATAGTATAAGTCCAGTGACCAGGAGGAGGGGTCAGGGCAGATCCTGGGGATCCAGGTTGTTTTTCTAAATTATCAGCGTGGTGGGGGTGAGAAGCGGGCACCTGCCTTTCCATCTGAGACAGTGGCTCACCTCCGCAGTTCCCGGGCTGTCCAAGGAACCTTGGGAGTCAAGCTTTTCAAGTATGCCTCCCAAGACACCCTCACCTCATTGCTTAGGGCGAAGGTCTTCCCTGTTAGGACCCGATTTCAGGAGGGCACTTGATCATGAACCTTCTCTAGCGCCTCCCAATCCTGTATGTAACTTAACAATTCTGTCCAATAATTAACCATTCCCGTCCACCAGAAGACAGGATCCCTTTCAGTGCTACCAGTGAGGACCACTGCAAACATTGACCGAGCTGCCAGTGGTAAAACATGTAAATTAAGTGCTGTATAAACGCTCACAATATGAAAGAAGTACAGAAAAAGCAGAGTGACTGGAAAAACAGTCCTGCCTGGAAGATTCAGAGAAATCTTCCCAGAGGAAAGAAGCATCCGTCTGCTCAGAGGGAAGGATTCAGGTTTCTCTAGAAAAACGAACTCTGATGCCGACTATAAAAAGCAGAGAATAAACAGACGAACTTGATAAAGGCTGCAGCGATGGCACAGTGATGGAGCACTTGCGCTGTTATTCCAGCACCACACACACAAGAGATGTTGTGTGCATGTGCGTGCCTGTGTGCGTAGAGAGGCCGAAAGGGGACATTGGTCTCCTGATCTGTCGCTCTCTGCCTCACTGCCTTGAAACAGGCTCTCTCACTGAACTGGAGCCAGGCTGGTGGCCAGCAAGCCCGCTGACCTTCCTGTTTCTGTCACCACAGTACTGGGTTCATACCAGGGCCCTGGGTGGCACCGCCCACAGTGGGCTGCGCCCTCCTACATCAACCACGAACTAGGAAAATGCCCCGCAAGCAAGCTACGTGTTTTCTCAATTGCAGTCCCTTTGCCCCAGATCGCCCTAGTTTATACCAAATTGACAAAGCAAAATAAAACAGCAAAAAACCCAAAACCTTACTGGCACAGACCCCTGAGGGAAACTGAATGTTGAGGACGTAACGAAACAGGAATTATCACAGCGGAGTTGAGACTGATCAGAGAAACACGGGCGCATGAACTCACAGCGCAAGAAGAAAGCAGTGTTTTCCCCGTGTTGCTGCAAAGGCCAGGAAAAGGTACCCAAACTGCAAGCTGGCCGAGGCTGCTGGGAAAATAGCTGTCGTTGGGATATTTTGCTGCTTCTGGGGTCCCCAGTGCGTCACACAGGCCTGCGCTTTCCCCGATGTGAACTTCTGTGGTAGCAGGAACGCACAGCGACGGAGGACTCTGCTGTGTGTTCACCCATTTCATACACTTGGCCTCATTCAGTTGGTACGAGGTCATCAGCGGGGAAGGGCCGTCTCCTTTGCTGTTAACGTTCTTAATGCTCACTGCATGCGAAGCCCCGAGCGGGCAAAACCTTACCAAATCAGTAATCAGCAGTTGATGTTGAAAGAAAAATTCAGAGATAAACAGAGAAGGCAGAAAGCAGAAGCCAAGGAGAAGAGAAAAGGACAACTGAGGAGAAAAATTTTATGGTAGCTGCAAAACTAGGAGAAGTAGACAGTGGTGGCACGTTCCCATCTCCCAGGAAAGAAGAATGTCCTCTGCTGTTGGGGGCTAAGCAGGCAGCGCGTTGGAGTAGAGCCTACTTCCGATTCAAATCCACCTCTCAGTCCCATTTGTCTTCAGGCTCCCTCCCTGGTAAACAGCCTGAGTCAGGGGTGGGCCGTCAGAGGCCCTGCAGGGCACGCCCTTGGGAGCTGCACCTTTGGGGGCTGGAGCTGGCCAGTGGCTGAGAGTGCTTGCTGGTCTTGCAGAGGCCTGGAGCTCCGAGTGTCCTGCTTCTACAGCAGGCGGTTCACCCCTGTAACTCCAGCCCAGACAAGCTCAATGCCGTTGGCCTTTTGTGGGCACCCGTGGGTACGCATACCCACAGCAGACAGACAGACCTGGACACACCAAAAATAAATAAAATTTTTAACAAAAAGATGAGAGGACTTGAGGGTCCATGGTGGGGCTGAAGAAGAAGCTGGGTTGTAATAAGGCTAAAATAGTATTTTCTCTGTCCCTAGGAGAGTCAAGAACCAAAATAACCCCTTAGAATCGTTGGGAACTGATGAGAACTGTGTGTCTCCGAGGCCACGCCCAGCCCGCTTTGTGGCTGCTGGGAGTAGGGTTGCGGTGATCCGTGTGGGCAGATGGATGGTAGACCACAACATCTGCTCAGTTTCCGAATTACTTTAGAAACCACACTGTCTACAAATTCCTGTTCAGCAGGCTTGGCTGTGATTTTCCTTCTCACGGTCCTGTTATCTCTGATAACCTCTGTGACGTTCCTCAGACCCCCACAGCCTTCACGAAAACCACACACGGCCCTTTTTGTTCTTTCTTTTCCCCTTCCCTGCCCCGTCCCCCTTTCTCTCATTCTTTTAGACACAGTCTCTCTATTCTGTAGCCCTGGCTGCCCTGGAACTCGCTGTGTAGGTCACGCACTGGCCTGGAACTCACCGAGATCAGAACGTTAGTGTACTAAAGGTCAGCTTGACCCTTCCTGAAAAACAGGGGTTTTTCCGGGCCTGGCTGTGGTGGCACTCGCCTGTAATCCCAGCATTTGGGAGGCGGATCTCCATGAGTTCCAGGCCAATCATGGGCTGGGGCGGAAAAGGGTGTGTGTGGGGGGAATAAGGGCTGGTATTTTCACTCTGTAGCTTTATAAACTGAGTCTCTGAGAGGTGAATTAACGTGACAAAAATCACATTGTGTGCTGGCTAGGGCTTGAACCCTTTTCTGGAGCCATTTTTCCATTCTACTGTTCTTTCCGTACAGTCCTGCTCCAAGTCTTTTAAAACATCTTGTTGCTAAGTGAAGGTGAAGTAAACATACACACAAAGGAAACTGGAAGCACGAGACATGGCGAGGATCTATGGCTTGTTGGTCATGGTGAATGAGTGTTGTACCTTCCCCTGCATTTTTACAGGTTTTGTGCAAGCAAGACTCTCTCTCTCTGTGTTAGTCAGACTTTTGCTGTTATGACAAAATACCTGAGCAAAACCAAAAAAAGAAAGATTTGTTCTGGCCTTTGTAGGTTCCAGTCTGTCATGGTGGGGAAAGGATGGTGAAGAAAGCAGCTTACCTCGTGGCGGCCAGGAAGCGGATGGAGGGGGCCGGGAATGGTAACCGGGCTCTCTCCTTTCTCCCTTGGCTTTCTCCTTTCTCCCTTTCCCCGATCTGGGCTTCAGCTTATATTTGCATGGCACTGTTCACACTCAAGACAAACCTCAGCGCTCTCAGCTAACCCTCTCAGAGACACCCTCACAGAGGCCCAGAGGTGTGCTTTACTGATTTCCAGTCGGTTCAAGTTGACAAGGGAGATGGCTCAGCAGGTAAAGGAGCCTGCTGCCAACCCTGACAACCCAAGTTCGGATTCCTGGGTTTGTTTATGGAAGTAGAGAGGATAGAACAGATTCCCACAAATTGTCCTCTGACTTCCACACCCATACACACATAAATAACTTTATAAAAAAAAATAACCATCACACCTCCTATGTTAGTCTGTTATTCAGTTAGCACCTGGCCTCAGTTAGCATATTTCTGTTGAATGATTCTCTTATTAGTAATACTTGAAGTTGTGATTATGCAAAGACACTAGCAGGACATGGAATACCATTGGTTGTCTAGCTTCAGCTGAGCCTCAGCACTTACCATGCCCTCTGAAGTACTAAGTACTTAATACTTAATACTTCTCTCCTGCTTAATACTTCCATAATTCTGTCCCTTCTGGCTAAATGCTCTTTTCCTTGTCTGATTATCCAAGGACTATTCATGACTCAGCTCAAATGTCAACACTTTTGTATTCTTTTTGGAGGGTGGGGTGGGAAGGGTTGTTTGGTTTTTGTTTTGTTTTGTTTAGGACAGAGTCTCACCATGTAACTTTGGCTAATCTGTAACTGGCTGTGTAGACTAAGATATCCTGGAACTCTCAGAGATGCACCTGCCTCTGCCTCCCAAGTGCCGGGGATTAAAGTCATGTATCACCATACCCAGCTGCGATTTTAAGATCATTTTTGACATATTTATTCATTTACATTTGTTTTGCCTGCATGTGTGTGTACGCACCACGTTAATGCAGCGCCTGAGGAGGCCAAAAGAAGGTGTTGGATCTCCCGGAACTGCAATTCCAGGTGGTTGTCAGCCACTGTGAGATTCAAACCCAGGGCCGAGAGAAGAGCAGCCAGCGCTCTTAACCTCT